GCTCTAGCCTAAATCTACTGTTGCTACTTAAAAATTCAACACATAGCCTAAATCCATTGTAGTTGCACAAGGTTGAATAATAAGCATTCAATGCTTGAGAATGAATACATGCATACACATATAAATTATAAATATATGGTAAAAAATAATAAGACAAAATCATCAGCAAGTTATAAAGAAGTTGTAAAATATCATATGAAAGACTTACAGAATAATAGGTACAACAGTTAAAAACTTTTTATTATAGGTAAGCTACTTTTCATTGTCTATTTGCTTCTACCAAGTCAAGCCATTATAAATCCTTTAATCTTCAACAAATGGGGCTTCTTTTTTCTAATGAAAAAAGTGGTATGTGACCTAAAAATAAACCAATATTGTGATGTTGTTCAGATAACTATCAAGCAGATTAATCATGTTCTAAAAATAAATATAAAAAGTGGAAGAATTAGCACATAAGAGCATCACCGAAACAATGAAATTTCTTTAGAAAAAGCTTAAGGTTTTTACTTTTTACAATCTATGAACTACAATAGCAAATCAACTTATCTTTATTCTTTACATTAGAAAGAAACAAAAGAAAATCCTATAACTATAATACCAGACAATCCTATCCAGTTGTTGACATTGAGAGAAAATTCTAAACAGCACCTATTACTATAACTGTGATACTAAAAGATATAAGATTTTCATTTATTGTTACTATAACTCTAATATAACTATATCAAAAAATACTTTGCAAAAAGAAAATTCTATATAGCCTTTATCCGTGCCAACCACTAAACAACATCTGTTACTATAACTATGATACCAAAAGATATAAGATTTTCTTTTACTGTTACTATAACTCTGATATAACTATATCAAAAAATACTTTGCAAAGAGAAAATTCTAAACAACCTTTATCCGTGACAACCACTACCAATAAGCATACATTAGCATTATCCAACATAAAAAATATGCACATAACAAAAGATACTCGAAAATTTTCAAAAATATGCAACATTAACTCGACCAAGAAATTTGTTTCATATAACCCGAATAGAAATTTCCTAAACTAAGATTGTTCATCATAAACCCTTTATCCTTCATTTCAAATTTTAGATAAAAATTAGGCTACACAAATCATTTACATTCAAAACAAAACCTAAAACCAAAGATTAACATGAATAAACAAATATTTTGTTGACCCAACTGAAGATTGAATACAAACCTGGCTTCTAGTCGATCAACGTCACTCCATCTAACCAGAGAGCGAATGAGAATTATTTAAGGAGAGTAAAAGCAAGTGGTGGCACTGGTTTGAGCATGGCTTCAACGCGATTATGCAAAGAGAAAAGCAAAGAAAAATCTGAAAGATAGTTTTGGTAAAAATAACTCACAAGATTGTTAGCGTGGGTTTTGGAGGTAGTGTGAAAAACCTAATAAAAAATCTATAAAGTGTAGTTTAGGGTAAATTTGAATTAAAATTTTTTTGTACAATTTTTTTATTTGAAATTCATTTTTTTTACTTTAAAAAATTTCTTTCAACAAAATTATTAAATTATAAAATTTAAAAATTTAAAAATTTTTTAAAAAAATTATAAACAAAATATGTATTTTAAAATTTTAATTATATATAATATTTAATCCTTTTTTCAATTAGAAAATTTTTATATATGAATACATATGAACTCAAACCCAATATTTTTCTCTTTTCTTTTTTAATAGTTTCTAACAATAAAGTGTATTAAAATAAATAATATTTAAAGGTCATATATGAAAAATGTAATTTTTTAACTAATAATATGTAATTTGTTAATAAATTATTAAAATTTTAATTTTAATTATAAAAAATCAAAATTATAAAATTTTGAATAGGTATTTTACTATTGTTAAAATTTAAAGAATAAACTGATAAGACAATGCCAATAGACTAAACAATTACTGATAGTAGTACTCCATTAATTATTAAATAGTGAAATAGGATTGTAATTTATTTTCTAGTTACAATTAGCCTTATCCCTGTACTCTTATGAACTTGGCCATGGGATGGGAAAGTGCTGAAATGGCATTGGGCATTTTTAGGCTTCTAAGCAATAAACAATCCTATGTTTGTATCAATTAATATCAATTTTCTTAGGGTGTAGTTTAAGGAAATTTCAATTAAAATTATTTTTTGTATGGATATTAATAACTATTTAAAATTTATTTTTTAATTAAAAGTTACTAATATGGTCAAGTGTAATTAAAATTTTTTCTATTTAGATATATGTGATCTGAGTAAAATTGTCACTTATAAATTATAGATTAATTTGAACTTGTTAGTGATGAATAAATAACATCATAACATCATTTAAAAGTTTGTGCATTAATTTTTTCTATTTAGATATATGTAATCTAAGTAAAATTGTCACTTATAAATTATACATTAATTTGAACTTATTAGTGATGAATAAATAACATCATAACATCATTTAAAAGTTTGACATTTATGTTATCATCATATAACACCATACATTAATGTGATAAAATAGCAATGTCATTAATAGTTAACTAAAATATTCAATTTGTAATAAAAATTCATAACATCACCTTAAATCTATTAGAAAAAATACGTCACAGTTAAAATTTTAAATTGATGATAAAATTATAACATTACTTAAAACAAAAAAAAATGTCACAAATAAATTTTTCATCAAATAAATTTGGTAGTAAAAGTTTGTGACATTTATGTCATCGTCATATAACACTATACATTAACATGACAAAATTGCAACGTCATTAATAGTTAACTACAGCGTTCAATTTATGACAAATATTAATAACATCACATAAAATCTATAAAAAAATTTGTCACAAATAAAATTTTAAATTGGTGATGAAATTATAACATCACCTAAAATAAAAAACATCACAAAAAAAATTTTTCACCAAATAAATTTGGTGGTAAAAGTTTGTGACATTTATATTATCGTCATATAATACCATACATTAATATGATGAAATTGTAATGTCATTAACAGTTAACTAAAATATTCAATTTATAACAAAAATTAATAACGTAACCTAAAATCTATAAATAAAAATTCATCACAAATAAAATTTTAAATTGATGACAAAAATTATAACATCACCAAAAATAAAAAATGTCACAAATAAATTTTTCACCAAATAAATTTGATGTAAAAGTTTATGATATTTATGTTATCGTCATATAAACCATACATTAACGTTATGAAATTACAATGTCATTAATATTTAACTAAAGCGTTCATTTTGTGACAAGAATTAACAACATCACCTAAATTTATTAGAAAAAATTGTTATAGATAAAATTTTAAGTTGGTGACAAAATTATAACATCATATAAAATAAAAAACATCATAAAAAATTTTCTCACCAAATAAATTTGACAATAAAATTTGACGACAAGTTTTTGGTGATGTTATCATGTGACGATTTTATATATCATCATCAAAAATATCAAAACAATATAAAAGTGTGACAAAATATATTTTCGTCACCTTTTACATACTTTGCGTGACAAAATATAATGTATCACTTAGAAAAATCACCACAAATTACCAGATTTGTTATAGTGTCCCGGTGGAACTTTCATATATATTTCTTCTTCTAAATCACCATGTAGAAAAACATTCTTTACATCAAATTATTAAAGCTACCAATTGTAATTTGTAGCTAAGGATGACAAAATTCTAATTGTATTTATCATGACAACTAGAACAAAAGTTTCTTGATAATCTATTTCATAAGTTTGAGTGTAGCCTTTGGCCACCAACCTGAACTTATACCTTTCAACAGTATCATCTATCTTATATTTTATAGTAAAAACCCATTTACACCAAACTAGATTTTTTTCTTTAAGCAACTTTACCAATTCTTATGTCTTATTTTTCTCTAAGGCCTTCATTTCTATTTTCATGACTTATCTCCATTTCTCATTGGATAATGTCTTGGATAATATAATTGGAATAGAAATAATGTTTAGGCTCACAAGAAAATTTTTATTAGATGGTGAGAATTTTTCAAATGTCACAATATTAGAGATTGAGTATAATAGATACTTAGTACATTCTCTAGTTTCTTTTCTAATAGTAATAGGTAGATCATAATCACTAGTTATAGTTTTAGGAGATTCATACTCATTTTAAAAAATAGAATTAGACATTGTAGTTACTCATTTCTAGAATTAAGATCGGATTTTTAGACTTACACTTGTTTAAGGGCTAAAACTTTCCTTTTTTGAGTACACTTGTAATTCTTTTATAAAATCAAGAATAATATTATTTTTTGTCACATCTTTTATGTTTAGAATGGGTTTAGACTCAAATTCAATATTTAACTTAGATTAAAAAAATAATTTTAGACTAATAAGAATTAATGAGTGAAAATATTAAAAAAGAGGACAGGTCAAGCAAAAAGAAGTCTTTTATCTTTATCTTCCATGAATGAAGTCTTCCTCTAAAGATAAAGTTGAGTAAAAAATAATTTACTTTCTTTAAAAGTAATATTTACAGACATAAAACAAAAATCAGCTTTAAATTCGTAATAAATCATCTTGAATATTCTTCATTCACATGAAAAAAAAAAAACAAAAAAAAAGTTTATATTTTAGTTTCTCTTAAAATGCTTTTAGAAAGGATAAAATTTGGTTAAGATTTCTTATGAAATTTTTTCCTCTTAAATTTCCATAAAAATAAGTAAAAATAAATTTAAAATTTTAACTTTATAAAATAAAATAAGATTAGTATTATGCATAAAAAATATTAGAATAAATACATAAGTTGTGGTGTGCTTTTTTTTTTAGGAAAATATTTTGAGTAATAATAAAAATTTATATATTTAGGTTATATTTTATACTTAATATATATATAATACAAAAATTATTATATTATAATTTATATTAATACAATTAAATATAAGATTTTTTTAGGGTTTTTTTTCCCAAGTCAATATATATTCTTCGTTAAAATGTTTTTATGTCATTTTTTTATAGTATTATTGTCTCATTGGCAAAATGGGCTGATTTTTCTTCGAAGTATAGCAGCCGTACTGTCCGTCTCTCTTTCCGAAGCTCCCTAAAACCCTCAGATGGGTTACCTATTCAGAGCTTCAAAAATCCTTAAACCCACGAAATGCTTATCTCCATTTTCTACAATATTTAGAAGCAGCAACCCATTTGATAGTTTCGGCTTGAGTCAAAGATTTTGCTCTCATTCTCGCCTCAACAGTAAAGAAACTGCTGCGATAGATTTGAGTCAATACCCAATTGAAAAAATAAGGAACTTTTCAATTATAGCCCACGTTGATCATGGAAAGTCCACTTTAGCTGATAGGCTTTTGGAGCTTACAGGGACTATTAAGAAAGGCCATGGTCAGCCTCAGTACCTTGACAAGTTACAGGTAAAAGAAAAAAAAGAGGTCTTTTTTCGTTGTGGTTTTATTGTTTGGATTGAAACTTGAACTGGGTACGTTTTATGTTCCTTTTATTGCTTTTGAAAGGGTGCTTAATTAACAAATTGTAGGTTAAAAAACAGGTCTTATTAGTGTGTTATTCTTTATTTGGATTGAAACCTGAAATGGGGTTCTTTTAGACTTTGAATTGCTGTAAATTGGTGGAAAGGGCAGGTATTGGCATTTCTAATAGTTGGTTTGGAAGAAACTAGAATTGGGTATTTTTTATTTTTCCATATAACATTAAATTTGGTTTAGAATGAAAAAAAGAAAATATTTTTACCTTTTGTTTGAAGGTGTAAGCCTAATGATGCTTCTGATGTTATATTAGGTTGAGAGGGAAAGGGGAATAACTGTTAAAGCTCAAACAGCAACCATGTTCCACAAACACAAGTTCCTTGGATCCAATGTTGATGATGTCAATGAACCATCAACGTTTCTGTTAAATCTGATCGACACGCCTGGTCATGTGGATTTTAGTTATGAAGTGTCAAGATCCCTGGCAGCTTGCCAAGGTGCTCTTTTGGTTGTTGATGCAGCCCAAGGTGTTCAAGCGCAAACTGTTGCAAACTTTTATCTTGCTTTTGAATCTAACTTGACTATAATACCTATCATAAACAAGATTGACCAACCAACTGCTGACCCTGATCGTGTTAAAGCTCAGTTAAAATCGATGTTTGATCTTGAACCTAGTGATGCCCTCTTAACGTCTGCTAAAACAGGGCAGGGACTTGAGCATGTCCTTCCAGCAGTCATAGAGAGGATCCCTCCCCCTCCTGGAAGCAGCAGTTCACCTCTGCGTATGCTTCTGTTGGATTCGTATTATGATGAGTATAAAGGTGTAATTTGCCATGTTGCCATTGTTGATGGGGCATTGCGTAAAGGTGATAAGATTTCATCTGCGGCAACTGGTCAAGCTTATGAAGTGTTGGATGTTGGGATCATGCATCCTGAACTTACTCCCACTGGAGTCCTTCTAAGCGGACAAGTTGGTTATGTGGTGACGGGTATGCGTTCCACAAAAGAGGCACGTGTTGGGGACACACTATATCACACTCGAACTACTGTAGAGCCCCTTCCCGGTATATCATCAGGCTTTATTTCTTCTTTATTGTTTGCAACACTATAATTCCTATTTTTTTCTTTTTTTTTAATCCAAATTAACACCTTTTTATATATGTGCTATGCTTCTAAATTGCAGGTTTCAAACCAGCAAAACATATGGTGTTTTCTGGTCTCTACCCTGCAGATGGATCTGATTTTGAAGCACTTAACCATGCGATTGAGAAATTAACATGCAATGATGCCAGTGTCTCTATTAATAAGGAGAGTAGCACAGCACTTGGACTGGGTTTTAGGTGTGCTGTGTTATATTTTATAACTTCATCTCTTAGTACCAAAAGTCAAGTAGTTTTATTCTACTACTTAATTATGGAGACTTTTGCATTGTTAGAATGGAATAATTTGTAGTGTATCCTGTATTCCTCCTGCAGGTGTGGATTCTTAGGCTTACTTCACATGGATGTTTTTCATCAAAGACTTGAACAGGTAATTTTTCTTTCATTTTGTCCATTTACCAAAATATTCTTTGTTGGTTTGCGAGTCATAGTGTTTTGTCTGGATGTAGGAGTATGGCGCTCATGTTATTTCCACTGTTCCAACTGTTCCATATATTTTTGAGTATTCAGATGGAAGGTACATAGTACGGTGGCCTTTGTTAATCTTTATTTGGAGAAAAGTGGTCTTTGTAAAGTTGCTTTTGATGTGATTTGTATCTCTTGATCTTGTGTAGCAAAGTTGAAGTTCAGAATCCTGCTGCATTGCCCTCAAATCCCAAGAAACGAGTGACAGCTTGTTGGGAACCTACAGTTCTAGCAACTATTATTATTCCTAGTGAGTAAGCTCCCGTATCCCTTTGCTATATGTCTATTTTCTCAGCATGCAAGAGTTTTATTCTTTTAGACCTCTCTGCTTACTTGTAGGTATGTGGGGCCTGTTATTACCCTTTGCTCTGAGCGGAGAGGCCAGCAGCTGGAGTACTCATTCATCGACAGGTAATTTATGCCATTAGGGTTTCAGCCTGCACTTTTCAAACTCATCAGTGGGTAATCTATTGTGAAATAGTTTCTACTTATCTAGGTTTTAAGCTGAAAAATCTGGCTGGTTCTCATAGTTGAGTTAATGTATGGAATATTAAAATATATGATGCTGAAATTTTGGTCCTATAGTCTTAGTAGTACTTGTTCTTACCACCATGATTCTGAAACTTTCTTTTGTCTTTGTTCTCCATCATCCATCAATTTAGCAAATTAGATTTTCCATACAATATTACCTGACATCCTGTTGTGTGCATTTTTGTTCCTATATATTCATTTGATTCAAAAACTGTAATTTGTATATCTGTAAAAATACCATGTGATAAACTGTTCCACGGTTATCCACTGTCATTCTCTTTGATGCAGTCAACGGGCTTTTATGAAGTATCGGCTACCTTTGAGGGAAATTGTTGTTGACTTTTACAATGAATTGAAGAGTATAACATCTGGCTATGCCTCCTTTGATTATGAGGATTCAGAGTAAGTCTTTTCCCTCCTCTCTCTCACATAGACACACACACATTCACTCATTTATGGGCACAGGCCCCCCCCCTCTATCATAGCGGCTGATGCATATAAAAAGCTGCAATATGCTGTTTATGTCCTATAATAATGCTTTAGGGAGAAGTGGTCTAACGCATTAAAACAACTGGTTTCAACTAGATAGATTTCCTGATTCCCTGGGATTGCTACCAAATGCATAATGCCATTTGATCTGGCCTAAATTTTCAGTAGAATCCTAGGGTGAAGCCCTAGTCTTCTGCATTTTATGTACTTACTCCTGATTGGAAATTCCATGTTATTTATTGACTTCAGATAAACCTTCACTGATGTCATTTTTCTGTGCCTCCACAAAATAGGAGCCTCCTGTAATTGACACATTTTATTGGTGTTGTTTACAGATACCAACAATCTGATTTGGTGAAACTTGATATCCTACTAAATGGACAACCAGTAGATGCCATGGCCACAATTGTTCACAAGTTGAAGGCACAACGTGTTGGTCGTGAACTGGTGGACAAGCTTAAAAAATTCATTGACAGGTCTCTTAATTTATAGTCTAGTATGTATTTTATATGAATTAGATTATAGTTGACTCAGATGATGCAATTCTGGTCAGGCAAATGTTTGAGATAACGATACAAGCTGCAATTGGATCAAAGGTTATTGCAAGGGAGACGTAAGTAACATGTCTTTCCCTTTTATATTTCCTTAAGGTTCCTTAAAAGGTTAACTACTGTGTAACGTTCATTGCTTAGCTAAGTCTTTCTGTGCTGAATTCAGAATCTCAGCAATGAGAAAGAATGTCCTTGCAAAGTGTTATGGTGGGGATGTTACTCGAAAGAGGAAGCTTCTAGAGAAACAAAAAGAAGGAAAGAAGCGAATGAAGCGAGTTGGTTCTGTTGATATTCCTCAAGAAGCTTTTCATCAACTACTGAAGGTTTCATAGTGTAGACTATGTCAGCAAGGATGCTAGTAAGTTCTAATGTATTCAGTTACTAGGTAAAATTCAACCCAGATCTTGTAGTAGTGCTTGTATTCTCTTGTGCCAATGGCAGCTAAGATCTTTTTGTCTATGGTTTTCATACTAAATAATAAACAATGAAAGGGGTTTCTCTTTTCAACCTCGATTGTTGATACTTTGGCAGAGAGGGAATTTTAAACTGTATAAAGTAGTTGTAGCTACTACTTAGGTAATGCCTCAGAGGCTCAGCCGATAAATAACTTCAGAGTCGGAATTTGTTGCATGCATGTATAACTGAAGTAAGCCTCTAATTCCTCTTTTTACACCACAGGATTTTATCTATAAAAAAAGGTTCACATCTTACATTGTTGTCAGGATACCTGGTAGCAGAAGCCGGTGGAAAAATCCAAGCAATGAAGATGCATTGACTCCATTTTCCTGTATACCTTTCGATAAACTGCCCTAGTTTTTGGATATGGATCATATTCTGATTCATTGACCCTATTTGTAAAACATTTTTCATCCTTAACGACTATGTTTTCACAGCAGTGTAAGATTATGGTAACTACTAGGATGCCATGGCGATTTTATCGGTCCTAAAGTCTCCATTTATTTTCATTTTGTTGGAAAAGTCTCCACATTATTTGTTATAGAATTCTTTTATTTACTGAATAAGTTTTGTGAATTGCAAATGTATTGTTTACTTGTCCTTAGATTTTATCTGAAATTATTCCACAATATCAAATTTATGGGCATTTCTACACGATACTATGGGAGGAACAGAGTTGAGAAATAAGTCAGAGTGATACTCCTGAGTTACTTTAATTGCATACATCAATTTGATTAATAATTAGAAGCGAATTAAGGGAGTTGGCTGTAATTAACCTCGGAACCTGAGAGCGGTGGATGGAATGAAGAAATCACCTTGTTGTTTAAATTGATGCATGCAAGTAAATGTAACATAGAATGATACATTCGCCTGTAATTTAGATTTAATTTCTATTGTAGCAGTGTTTTTTAGTGGATAATTTATCAACTTTATGTACTTTTTTTTTGTTTTTTGAAATGGTTTGCTATGGCCCTGAAATGGATTACCTCTCCTCGTTTTAAACTAAAAGAAAAAGGGGAATATAGGAAGGTATGAAAATGGATTATCTCTACGTTTGATGATGTCAAAATCTTTTAACCATATTCCTGTAGTAATAAATTTATCTTTTACGTGAAAAACAAAAAGAAAAAAATCCTTGATTGCGTTTACCGGCCCGACAGCCTGTCGTTGAGTCGTCGTAGAAATTAATACTTGTCCTTGTTGAAGTCATGGCTACCATCGCATTCCTGCTTTCAAAGGTCTGCCACTCACAAAAGAGTAACAGTTGATCTCTCTGAGCTCTTTCCTTTTCCAAACAGCTTCCCATCAGTACCACTTCAAAACAGCTTTCCCATGGAGTTTCAAAACAGTCATTTCACTAATCTCGTTGCCACCACAGGTAAATATATCAATCTGCTTGTTTCTTTAATATTAGTAAAACTTGAGCCCGTTTATTTGCTTTCTTTTGGGATGATCTTTGGGGTTTGTTTTTCTATGTTAGGTGTTTTGTTTTGGTTTTCATGTGTGGATAAGACCCTGAAACGGCCCTTTACAATGGTCTATGGCATGCATGTGCTGGTCCTTTGGTGACAGTTCCTAGGGAAGGAGAACGTGTTTTCTACTTTCCTCAAGGACACTTAGAACAGGTTTGTTCAAGCTTCTGCTCTTTCAGTTTTGTTGCTTTTAATTGTTAATACTTGATTTTACTGCTGTTTCTCTAGCCCGTTAGATTTCAAGAGGCTTCAGTTTCCATATTATAAATGGAATTTTTTTTTTTTTTTTGCATCAGGTTGAGGCCTCTACTAATCAAGTAATTGACCTGCCAATGTACGATCTTCCTTCCGAGATCCTTTGCCGTGTGATTAACATCCAATTAAAGGTAAGAGTTTTGAGCATGCTTTATTTCTACTTTAAGTTGTACGGATTTGTGTTCTGGTTTTCACAAATTGCGTTGCTGTGTGAACTATAGGCTGAACCTTGTTTGCGCAAGTAACTTTACTTCCTGAACCAATCGTCAGTCCAGTCGCTTTTTCTCTCTGTTCCGAGTTCCTTGTACATTTCTCTTGTAAAACCCTGACTCCCTTTGATACAAGCATCTATGGCGGATTTTCACTGCTCAAGCGTCAAGCTGATGAATGTTTCCCACCTTTGGTTCGTGTTGATCTTCCTCAAAATATGCAATTCTGGTTTTCATTCTCAGAAATTGAGTTGTAACTATTCCAAGCTTGCTTCACAGGACTTGTCAATGCAACATCCAAAACAGGAGTTGGTTGCCATGGATTTGCACGGGAATTGGTGTCGTTTTGAGCATGTTTTCAAGGGTAATGCTTTAAACCTGAATAATAAGCTTTATATTCGTATTTGGTTCACTTGAAGATAGGGTCAACCACAAAGGCACTTGCTTGTAAGAGGTTGGAGGGATTTTGTCAGCTCCAAGAGGCCTGCTGTTGGGGATGCAATTGTCTGTTTAAGGTTGGCTTTCTTCCTCAAACCTCTGATGACATTTGGTTGTTTTAGATTTTCTTCTTTGTTTCAACATGAGTACTAATACATCGAATTGACATGCAATTTATAGAAGCGAGAATGGACAACTATGTGTTGGTTTACGGCGAGCAATGAGGCCACAGGGCGATATTCCTTCTTCTACAAGTTCAAGTCCTGAAATGTCTCCCGATGTGCATGCAATTGCATGGGAGACCTACACAAGAAGAACCCTATTCACCATATATTACAAACCAAGGTTTCTTTTATTGCAATTCATTGAAGCTTTTTGTTTTACCAATTTTTAACTACAGATATTCTTGTGAATTTTCAATATCAGGACATGCCCAGCAGATTTTATTGTTCCATTTGATCAGTTCATGGAATCAATGAGGATCATTTACTCAATAGGGATGAGATTCCAAATGAGATTTGAAAGTGAATAACCTCTTGACCATAGGTATGGCTGTAGACACACATTTTAGTTCGAACCCAATGGGACCCATTTTGGTCCAAATTTAATCAGGTTCATTTGATTCGAGCCTAATAGGTCCCATTCTGATCTGAGTCCAATTATGCTCATTTTGGTTTGGGCCCAACCCAAATCCATTTTCGTCAAGCCCATTTTGGTTCGGGCTCATTTTGGTCCATCTAGGTCCAATTAGATGTTTTTATCATTATTATTATTTTATTTTTTACTTTTTATTTTTCGTTTCCTTTTCTATTCTTTGATTGCAAGATAATTAGGATTAGAATTCTAGGACAAAACTTTGATTGCAAATCATGTCAATGACTGGAATTTTGGACTCAAAAATCTTGTTGGACAAAATGCAATCCCAGGATCAAGCCTGAGATTGATTCTATCCGTTTTTTGAATTGATCATAGGCTGTTTATAAATTGGACTAATTCTATAAAACAAGGACACACAGAGAGACACACACAAACCATAAAGAAAATTGTTGGGAAATTCTGGGAAAAGTCTAGTAGTAAAGGTTTCTGGGATTCGAAAATTGAGATTTTAGATTTGATTTGGAGTTTTGGTGGGATTTTAGGTTTCTGAAGGTGATTTTAAAGTCGTAAGAGTATCAGGAAGAGTTTAAGATGATTTAGGAATTTTTTTGAATTTTTTTAGATTTTTTTTTGGTTCTTTTAGGTTTTTTGAAGAACTTTAAATTTTTCGACGAAAGATGAAGTTTCTGATGAGATTCCGACAATGTTTCCAGAATCCAGTAAGCTTTTCAAAAACTTACGGGTTTTTTAGTTTTCGGTTGAATTTTCAGGTGAAGTTTTCAGAAACCGGTGGGATTTTCAATTTTCGATTGAACTTTTTGGCAGGTCTAAGGAGATTTCTAGATAGAAAAAGGAGCGTCTGGGGTTAGAGAGAGAGAGGCTCTAGGGTTTTTGAGGAAAAAACGTTGAAGGGTGCCTTATATACTGCTTTAACACCATATCATTTTGGTAACCAAGATCCATGTGTCGGCTCGAAGATCCTCGCACTGACTCACGTTTTGACCCGACTCGATCGCAGGTTTTTATTTTATTTTATTTTTATATTTTGATTTTGATTTATTTTATTTTATTTTTAAACTTTTTTTTTCATTATTTTCTATTTTAAAAAAAAAAAAGAAAAAAAGAGAGAAGAGAAAAAATGATTATTTTTGTAATCTTTGTTTAAAAAAAAAGGATAAAAAAAAGTAAAAGAAAAGAAAATTTTCTTATTTGGTAAATTATAAAAATGTGCAAGGCTTGGATAATTCGAAATCAAATTGGTACCATTCATTGGATGAGCGTTTTGGGAGTGTTACAATCTTCTCCATGCGCAATCGACTTTTGAATCTAGTCTTTGTTTTGCATATCAGCTTCAATTAGGTAGCTAATCACATATAACCAAAAAATATTGGTGGTGACTCCTTTTCATTCCAAGTCTAGCGGTTGGTATACGAATCTATATGTTTGATAGCTTGATGACTTCGTTGGAGACATATTAAAGAGTCAAGCCAATAAAAGATTTATTATTATACAGGCTTTGTCTAACAAATTTGAAATTACCTCTTTCCATAGCTTATATTTGCTTTATTATGGTTTATTTGTTTGCCCTATTATTTAGTATTTATATTTGCCTAAATATTTACTTATTATATCTGTCATTTATTTACATGTGTATAACATAAACCCTCCACTTAGGCTCTATTTTTAGGAGGGAGTGAAGTACATATGCCCTCGTGAGATTTTATGTCTCTGCATAGGCTTGCAAAATACTCCTACACAGATTGAATCCTTTCCACTTGAAGCCTATAATGGGTGAGGATTTGAGTGCCTTACTAGTTTGTAATAGACCATGATATAGGAAACAATTTGAGAACCTTTTAGAAATAGCCCAAACCATATATACTTGAATTTAGAAGCCCAACCATTGATAGAGCCTTATTTTTTCACCCTCTGTAGATAATCCAAAATTCTAAGTCATGCTATTATCTTAATTGTTATGTTTTTCCTATATTTCATTAAAATGACTAACTAATTTCTTTGTCTTCTTTTATTTCTTTTTGCACACATTCATGAACATGTTCACAGATTGTATAGTATTCTTGCCCCAAAGCTATTTCAGTAAAGACCCTCATGGATTCCATAGAACGTCAAGTTTGCACCTCATCTATGCTGTTTAAATGTGATTCTCCCATAAAGGTGAAGATCGAATCAGAAAAGAAGTAGCTAGAAGAAGGAGATTATTTGTCATCTGGTCATGTCTTTACACTATCAGGAGAAGTCCACCTATTCCTTAAACACTATAACTTGAAAAGCTTATTAGACAAATGGAATGGCATAACTTCTTCAAGGCATGAAGCTTTTTGTGAGAAATTTAGACATATAGCATATCTTTTGTCAATTGAGGTTGATTACTCACTTATTAGGGTGATGGTATAATTTTGTGATCTTTTATACCAGTGTTTCATCTTTAATGAGGTTGATATAGTATCAATAATTAATGAGTACTCAACTCTGATGGGTATGTATCTATTGTATCGAAATAGAATATACATGAACAAACACAAATCAAAGAGTCACAGGAAGTTGAGTCATACGTTAGGGGTGAAAAATGAGACTATAGATTCATACATTCGAAAGAAAGGTGATCACAAAAGTATTCCCTGTAGGGTCTTTCGAGATTTCATTATTAAGCATCCAGATGATGATCAGGGAATAGATGTATTTGCTCTGGCCATATATGGGTTGGTTATTCTCCTTAAGGTCTTGGGATACAGTGAGATAGAAGTGGTGGATCTATTTGAGCAAAGTGAAAGAGGTTGTAATCTTTCACTAGTTATCTTGGTAGAAATTATCAGATCTTTGAGTTTTTGTAGGCAGATGGACAAAACACGTTTCATGGGTTGCATAACCTTATTATATGTATGGATAAAGAATCATTTTGAATGCAAGAAAAGTTTTTTTACTAAACTTTATCTCCACACTTAGAGTCCGATTAGAGAATTCTGTCAGAGTACTTGACCAGAGGCAAGAACTGAAAATGAGTGAAAATGTTTGCTACAATGACTCACAGCTAGTCAGGTAAGATGGTTAGCTCTATGGATGGGCAGAGAACCTATGTTATACCAATGTGGAGATGAGACAGGGGTCTTACTTCTAGTCTTATGAGGGTTAACAAGTTATACCCCATTAATGGTAAAGAGGCAACATAGAGCTGAACAGTTTATTCCTATAATCCACAAGCTCGGCTAGTTCGACTGCTCATATGGGAGTTTGAAACCTTTCAAAAGATTGATAACATAATTAAAGCCTAGAAGAAACCTAAAAGAGTAAGCCTAGAGCCATTCACTGATCGAGTTATTCAAGGGTATTTGGTTTAGAGAAATAAGAGAGGTCAGAAGATTGCATTTGGGTCTCAGGATCATTATTTACCAGTGCATCAATAGTCTAATAAATAGCTTTCGAAATTAGAGTGTGAGATAGAGAAGGAGAAACTGAGACAAAAGGTCTTAAAGCTACAGGAAGAAAAAGAACAATGGCAAAACAATGTAGAAAAATTAGAAGTTCAAAACCATAGAATTTTCAAAGAATACAACAAGGCCCAGAAAGTTGTTAGAGAACGAAATGATGCCCTAAAAAAGCTGAAGGAGTTACAACAATAGCATAAGAGGTTGCATATATAGGTACAAGCCAAAGAATTAATAACACTAAGTTGGCTCGTGAAAATGAAGAGTTGAAAGAAGAATGCGACCACATAAACAATGCTTTCATAAAGGCTGAGCAGGAAAACTAATGGCTTTCGGACCACATTCTGACTTTGACATCAAAGTTAAGTGAACAAAAAAATTGTGTTAGGTTTTTTACAGAAAGAGACAAAAAATTATCCTATTAGGTGTGGTGTGACAAAAGAGAAGGGTTAGGAAGACAGAGATATATAGAACACCTTACCATTCATATAGGCAAAGTCGTGATCCAAGCAAGCAAGATAGCAAAAAAGGCTAAGACTTTGAGAGCTTTGATCGCACTAGTAGGGGAGTATGGACAAAAATTGTTAAACTTTATTGAGGAAGCTATGGCTAGTATGAGCAAGTTAGGTATTTCTATAGAGGAACAGCACTAGCTTTGATGTAAAATTGACTTCTGTGGAATAAATGAAAGTTTTTTTTGTTGGATCTTTTTCAAAAGGCAAATATTTTCCTTTTACTTTCTACTTTCTTTCATTTGCATCACATTCACTCATGCATTCATTATCATAACATTATCATTGAATCTTTAATTGTGGTACTAAAGTGCAAGAATAGCTATTCATCAATACAATACTCGAGCTTGAGCTAGAAAGATAGAACAAGACAATACAAATCACTTTTAAAGGATAAAAAAAGCCCAAGAAGCATTAAAAAAAAAAGTTGAGCCAAATTTTAGAGGCCCTGAAAAGGATAAATAGGGGAAAATCAGTGAAAGAAGATATTTCACAAGAAGCTACTAATTTGGCATATCCTTCAGGCTTTGACCTACCAAAAAATCAAATCGCACCATTTTTTCAATCGCAACAGATAATTTTTTTGAAGTACAACTATCCAGGAATGACCTATGCACCAAGTCATGAGAATGCCCAAAGCTATGATAATCATGTCTTTGTCAAAAAAATAGTTGAGTCCATTCGACTCCTTATTGCAGATGAGGTAAAAGAGAAGGAAAAACCACAAACAGCTATGCCCTTGAAAAATTCTAAATTAATCAAGTTATGAATAGACTTGAAGAAAAACTAAAGGTTGTAGAAGGAATAGATTTCTATAGATCCATGGATACAGTGAGACTTTGCTTGGTATCATACATGGTAATGCCACTAAAGTTTAAAGTATTAAAGTTTGAAAAATACGATGGTACCAAGTGTCTTATCATGTATATCACCATATATTGTCGTAAAATAATGGCACATGCCAATAATAAGAAACTACTTATGCATATGTTTCAAGACAGTTTGACTGGATTTATGATAAGATGGTACATTTAATTAGATGGGACTAGCATCAAGACATGGAAAGATTTAACCAGATCTTTTATTAACCAGTACCATCACATCATTGACATAACTCTCAATCGTCTTTTCTTACAAGCAATGAAAAAGAAGACATCCGAGTCCTTTAAGCAATATGCTTAAAGGTGACGGGATATGGCTACCCAAATACAACTCCTTTAACAGAAAAAGAAATCATGGCATTATTTGTGAGCATTCTAAAGTTGTCTTATTATGAAAAGATAAAAAATGCAACTAAGAATTTTATAGAAATGATAATTTCAAAATAGATAATAAAAAATACTATCAAGAATGGTAAGCTTGAAGAAGGTGAATCTTTTAAAAGAGCACTTAAGAAGAAAGAAAGTGAGACTCAAGCAACGAGTCTTGAAAGACAGCAATTTAGAAGCTACACTCGACCTATTTACCTTACATACCATATAGTGAATCATACTTATGCATTTTCTCACCAATCATCCACTTAACCATCTTATCCATCTTCTTCAAGATCTTTTACTCACTCAGCCAGCATCACAAGTAATACCAAAATTAGAGAAAAACTAACTTTTGACCCCATACCCATAAGCTACATAGACCTATATCAAGAGCTCTACAAAAATCATTTGATAGCCTCTGTCCCTACAAAATAGCTTGAACCTCCTTACCCTAAATAGTATATTCCAATGCCTATTATGACTACCATTTCGAGGTGGCAGGATATTCTACTGAGAACTACATTCTTTTCAAACTTAGGGTACAAAGTTTGATTAAGAAAGGCTGATAAGCTTTGACACCAGTGGAAGTTTTGCACCTAATGTCAGTGAGAATCTTTTACCTAGTCATACAGTCAATGCTTTGGACACAAGTGAAAAACATGTGAAAAAAAAGGTAGAAGAGCTTAAGATGCTACTTGACTAGCTATATAAAGCCTTATGTAAAGTCGAAATGATACAACCAGTGGCTCTATGCACTCATATGGGAAAACATATCCCAAGTCAAATATGTAAAAATCATG